AAGCAATTGACATACCCGTAATTGCTCATCGGTAGCCCGCTTTTCAGCCAGAGACTCCTTCAGAATTTTGTTTTCGTCAGCAAGTACGCGATTTTCTGCTTGGATTCGGACACTGTCCACTTTCAGTTTCCGTGTTTCCCTTTCGGAGTCATCCAGTCGCTCGTTCAAGATCTTCCTTTCATGCTGAAATTGGTGGGGCGTAAAGGGTATCACAGAACTGTTATTGCTCATCTTCATGGGGTTAGTCACCGCTTGTCCCTTTAAGAATTTTTTTGGACATGAATTATTCAGTAACTGTCTAGCTGATTAGGATCTCGCGTTCGCCTGGGATTTTCCTCGCCTCTTGAAATCTTTGTAACATGAGTTCTATGCCAATTGGCGGCCTAAATATTAAAAACTTGGCTTTAAAGCACGCCTTGGCCTCGCGTTTGCGTAAGTGAATGCCTAGTTCGGATTGACTCGGCAACCAGACTGTGCAAAAAGCAGTATTTTTCTGAGGATGCTTACAGTTGATGTGCGGCTACCAAGCGTAAGATGAGCTTTTTCCTAGGTGTGCCTTGCGTATATTGCATCGGATTTTCTGACTGCAACACCACAGTCACGCCTCGGTAATGCAGGCGATCTCTTCACGGCAGGCAAGGGCAACCTTTGGCGACACACGGGCCCGATTTACATACTTAAACTCGCGAGCCACTTTTTAATAAAACCCAAGCAACAACTCACCAGGCTTGACCGCGCGTTCATACGTTTTGCACTAAACTTGACACAATCAGATCGTTAAATAGTATGGTTGCTGCTTTACAGTGTGGCATGTACAACTCACGTGCTTCCTTTTGGTCTTTCCTTGCGTACGCGGAAAAGGGCGTCGGCTGGGACAGTAGTGTTGCATCGTGGCTCTCTCCCTTGCTGAGTTGAGAGTGGATAACAAAGTTCAGTCGATTCTAAACAAACACACACACACACACTTCCGACGTTGTGCGTTTTTGCATTTGCATGGGATGAAAAAATGCATAAAAACATGTAATTTTTTATCAGGTTCACTCAGTAAAGTCATTGGCGACGTGCACTGGGCAGGCCCGTGCGATCACGCGTTTTTGTAATATTTCTTGCTGTTGTAAGACTGCTTGGAATCTCAGTATCTAGAATTTTTGACATACTGGTCCTCGAAGATCAGGTAGCTAATTGTACAACTACCACGTGGTACTTGGAAAGGGAATATTCGTCAAAATTTCAGTTTCCTAGCTTTTCTGGTTCCCAAACTGGCGATCC